TAATATCAATTATGAGCTTTGTACAAGAATGTTAAATTTATCTAAATGAAAGAGAAGGCGATTGCGTTTTTTTGCTATGTAATATTCAATGCGTTCATACAGCTTAACGTAAGCCTTAAAGCCTTGGATTGTTAAGTGGCTGATATTACGTCTGTTATTGTAAACATATGCCTTATATWACAAGAGGATAAAATCAAACAAAATTTCATTTTTGTTCTCATTTATACTCCGTGATCCTAACAATAATAATGGAAATTCTAGTTTTGGGAAATCAGGGGTTAAATGACCGCCACCCTTGCAGAATCAGACAGTCACTATTTTTTCCCTAAGCAATTCCTATGTTTCAATGCTATTTTTTTACTATGTGAGATGTATGTTTTTGCTATGTGATCTGTACATTTTTTTTTTATGCGATTTCACTATGTCAAACATATTACTTTCCTATAGCGAACTCTATGTTTATGCTATTATTTTACTAACTTTTTGGAACAAATACAGAGTCTATGTCAAAACTATTTTATTTTCTGTAAAAATYCATTAATTTAACATATAGATAAAATACGTTTTAAGTAGAATRAAATAGAACAAAACACCAACTTGAAGCTAACTAACTAACTAATTAACTAGCTAATTAACTCTGTTAATTCGGCACTTCGGCCTTCTTCAGCAAATAAAAAAAATACGTTTTAAAAAATACCTTTTAAAAAATACCTTTTAAATAGTTGTTACATAAAATAAAAATAGAAAATACATAGATTTACAATATGGATAACATATACTTAATACATAGAATAACCATAGCCGGACTTGAGTTACATTTTACATAGGCATGCAGATAAAGTTAAAGCTATGTCAAACCTATTACATTCCTATAATCAACTCTATTTTCATCCTATTTTTTTACTATTTTTTGGAACAAATACATAGACTATGCAAAGACTATGTATTCTCCTTGATAATCAGTAATCTTTAAATATAGATAAAATATGTATTAAATAGATATTACATAGGATTAAGATAGGCAATACATAGTATAAAATATGAATCAAATTAGGGAATACCTCATTTACTCGAATAGACGCCGCGGCGTTTATTTCATTTTTCACGATCAAGCTGCGGCGTTTATTCGAGGGCGGCGTCTATTCGGGGGCGGCGTTTATTAAAAAGACACTTTATTCAGAACTACATACCGTACTTTATATTGTACTTTATATCGTATATCATTTGTGCACCTCTCTACACTTAACAAAAGAAACGAACTTGTAACATCATGTAATTCACTGCCAT